TAACAGCTAGACCCCGCCCATGTCCTGTGACGACACCATTGTCTCATGACACACCCAGAACAGAGTAGAATGTATCCAATATTTTGTGTCATATGACACATTACAGACAATTTGATGAAGTCACAATTTTTCAATCTATGAAAGTACATAAATGGAAAGACCTGGCGTACGTATGAGCATTTATGTTTAATTAATCAACACGAATGACTTGTTTTCTCCGGGATGTCTTGATGTAGTTTCATGGTCGTGCTTGAATCACCGTTAGACGAAAAACTATGATCCGCGATTCTGAGGAAAAATGAAGCGCAGTTTGCCATGGATTTGTTAAAGCAACAAGAGCCTTATCTCGCATCAGAATAAAGATACAAAACGCACAAAATACAGTTTTATATCCTAAAGAGGTAAGTGTTTATAAATTCAACATCACTAGACGATGTTTTTTCGTTCAGTTTCGTTCATGGTAGTCGTCACGGGGCATTGATTGTGTCAGTGGACATGGTAGTCGTCACAGAGCACATGGACGATGTCAGTGGACATGGTAGTTGTCACGGGGCATGGACGGTGTCCGTGGACATGGTAGTTGTCACGGGGCATGGACGGTGTCAATGGACATGGTAGTTGTCACGGGGCATGGGCGGTGTCCGTGGAAGTGGTAGTCGTCACGGGGCATTATTGTGTCAGTGGACATGGTAGTCGTCACAGAGCACATGGAAAGTGTTAGTGGACATGGTAGTTGTCACGGGGCATGGACGGTGTCAGTGGACATGGTAGTCGTCACGGGGAATTGATTGTATCAGTGGACATGGTAGTCGTCACGGGGCATAGACGGTATCAGTGGACATGGTAGTCGTCACGGGGCATAGACGGTATCAGTGGACATGGTAGTTGTCACGGGGCATGGACGGTGTCAGTGGACATGGTAGTTGTCACGGGGCATGGACGGTGTCCTTGGACGTGGAAGTCGTCACGGGGCATTGATTGTGTCAGTGGACATGGTAGTCGTCACAGAACACATGGAAAGTGTCGGAGGACATGGTAGTCGTCACAGGGCATGGACGGTGTCAGTGGACATGGTAGTCGTCACGGGACATTGATTGTGTCAATGGTCATGATAATCGTCATGGAGCATGGATGGTGTCACGTGACGTGGTGGTCATAACGGGGCATGGATTGTCGTCACGGGACATGGGTAGTCATCACAGGACATGGACGGTGTCAGTGGACATGGTAGTTGTCACTGGGCATGGACGGTGTTAGTGGACTTGGTAGTCGTCACGGGGCGTGGATGGTGTCAGTGGACATGGTAGTCGTCACGGGGCATGGATGGTGGCAGGGGACTTGGTAGTCGTCACGGGGCATGAATGGTGTCAGTGGACATGGTAGTGGTCACCGGGCGTGGATGGTGTCAGTGGACATGGTAGTCATCACGGGGCATGGATGGTGTCAGTGGACATGGTAGTCGTCATGGGGCATGGAAGGTGTCAGTGTTCATGGTAGTCGTCACGGGACGTATGTAGTCGTGACGGGGCATGGATGGTGTCATGGGACATGGTAGTCGTCATGGGGCATGGATGGTGTCATGGGACATGGTAGTCTTCACGGGGCATGGATGGTGTCATGGGACATGGCGGTCGTCACGGGGCATTGATGGTGTCATGGGACATGGTAGTTGTCACGGGGCATTGATGGTGTCATGGGACATGGCGGTCGTCACGGGGCATGGATGGTGTCATGGGACATGGTAGTGGTCACGGTGCGCGGATGGTGTCATGGGACATGGTAGTCATCACAGCGCATCATGGGTAGCCATGGTTTGTCTCGCTGCAAATATTGATGCAATTGAAATAATGCTATTCATGAACTCTGCAATGTGGATTTGTAGGATGTTCTCTTGTCATTGTACTTGAATCACAATGTCCTTCAATATTGGATTTTATTCCGTTGTATATCCTATTCTGTTTTGATATTTGCCACGGGACAAAGATGTTATCATGGTTCATTGGTGTCCAGGAATAGATGGTGTCACAAGATATGGGTGTTGTCTCAGAAAATGATTGGTGTTACAGGACATGTTTTCTGTTTGTGGTATTTTGTTGGTAGAGTCACAGGGAATGGGTGGTGTCGCAGGACATGGTTTTTGTCGTTGGGTCATCGGTGGTATCACCTGGCAAGTGTGGTATTTTGTTGGTAGAGTCACAGGGAATGGGTAGTGTAGCAGGACATGTTTTTTGTTTTTAGGTCATCGGTGGTGTCACAGGGCAACGGTGGCATTTTATGGGTAGAGTCACAGGGAATGGGTGGTGTCGCAGAAATGATAGGTGTAACAAGAACAAGGGTGGAATCTTGGGAAATGGTTAGTGTCTTTGGTCATCGGTGGTGCCACAGGAAATAAGTGGTATGTTGGGGCATGGTGGTGTCCTTGGGTAATGGGTGATGTCAGAGGGAATGGCTTCTTCAAAGAGTTACTTGATCTCTACTTGTACCAACTGCATTGGAATTGTTCAAGCTAATTCCGTAATGACGAATAACAACATCAATAGGCAAGAAACAAGTAAATTTTATTCCAATGCAAAAAGGCGAGGTAGAAAACTCATTGTCTTAGATTATGCAGTGGAATATTTCTTTCAGTTCCCAGATGTCTCTGGAAAGCAAAAAAATACTCAAGTAAGTATGCATGACATGACTTTGTACCTAATGAATATATATTACATAACTGTTATAATTAAAATTGTTTCAACTTATTATTTTAGATGTTAACTAAGTAGGAATATCGTTTGAATCAATCAGACGTGTAAAAACAATTCAGAAATGCGCACCATCTATTTTCCGTGATGGTGCCCATGATGGTGCCCGTGGTGGTGCCCATGATGGTGATGATGATGATGGTGTCCATTGGCACCTTGAAAGATGGCCACGGCGACTGCAAGATATGAAAATGCTCAATTAATTTTAATGAAGCAATGCAAACACAACCATGAATGATTCACTAAATTACAAAAGCGATATTTATTTTTCCTGGATGCCATTTTAAAGCCAAAACTGAAAAAGAAAAAAAAGAAGAATATTTTATATTCACTAGAATATTCAGAAACAGGACAATCCGCGACTGTTAACCTTACCCTAGTGGTTAGTTTCGTAATGAACCATTCTTAACTCATTATATCGATCATGAAGAAAACATGCATGATATAGATCAAGAGTATCATACATTACAGGGATGTAAGAATGACAAGTAATGGCAACGCAGTTCGAATGTACTCACCAAGCAGAAGAGGAGCAAGGGCAGCCGTCACATCCATCGTGGATATATAACACCAGTAGATACTTAAAGGTTGATGGTAGCGGATGTTTTGTAATTTTTCTCAGATGCTATGTATTTATACGTTGGTTACTACCGGAAGTAACTACGGACCCACTTGACAGATATACTGACCCCTGGTGGGAGACTTCCCTTGAATTATTTATTTAGCAAATAACGGTGCCAAGCGAGACCCCTTTTTTAAATAATTGTTGATAATAAGTTAAATGGCATAATAAGTTAAATGGCATAATGAATAATGCACGTATATATCATGTAATACACTTAATGACAGTTAATGACAAGGCAGTTTTGATGTCCTCACGGATGGGTGTTTTGTTGTTTAACGCCGCACTCAGCAATATTCCAGCTGTCCGCGGTCTGTAAATAATCGAGTCTGGACCAGACAATCCAGTGATTAACAGCATGAGTATCGATCTACGTAAGTTGGGATACGATGACATGTGTCAACCAAGTGAGCGAGCCTGACCACCCGATCCCGTTAGTCGCCTCTTGCGACAAGCATGGGTTATTGAAGACCAATTCTAACCCGGATCTTCACGGGTCTCCTCACCAAGAAGTGAAGCAAGGACGGCTGTCACGTCCGTTGTGGACATGTTTTACCAATTGATTCAGGCTGATGTTAGGGGATGTTTTGTAATTTGTTTGAAATGTCATATATTTATACGTTAGCTACTACCGGAAGTTAATACTGAGCCACGTGACAGATACACCGCCCCCTAGCGGGAGAGCTGGCCACCTGGAGGATGTTGTCATTGATCAAGGTCGTCGTCCTGCTGACATTGACCGTGGCACTGACCGCAAACAGGGGCAGACATTGTGGTCTTTTTTAATGTCTCTTTTGTTGATTTTATTTCTGTTTCTCACAAACATTTCTATGGATCAGATGTTATCCAACCAGCTTCCTCTGAATAATTGAGCAACACCCTATGCAGGAACAAAAGACCACATTATCTGCCCCTGTTCCTGGTCAGTGCCTACACCCAATCCCAGCAGGAATGCGACCTTGATCTACACAATGATCCCTAGGGGGCAGCACTCCTGCCAGTATCCGCGAAGTACGTGGGTCACGTGGGTCAATACCAAGTTCCGGTAGTCATAAACATATAAATACACGACATCCTAAACAAATTACAAAACATCCACCAACATAAATCTTTCAGTGTCTACTGGTAATACATTTCCACAATGAATGTGTCAACCGTCCTTGCTTCTCTTCTGCTTGGTGAGTACATCGACTCTTAATTTGTCATTCGTGCTGTAATATCTTGTTGCATACGTTCAATTCACATGTAAGATAAATGGAAGTTGAAAGTGTTTTGTCTTATTTCGAAACGAACCAGAACCTCAATGCTAGGACAGGCGTATGTTCTTACATAATTATGTGAAACACTTCTTTTTCTTCATTGGACATGTCATGGACAATTCTCTTGTAAAATGACATATTGGAGAGAACATAGCTCGCTTCGGATATTTGTTATATTCAGTAATTCATTAGGTGTCTTCCCCACATGGGTACAATTTGTGAAGCCCATTTCTGGTGTCCCCTGCCGTGATATTGCTGGAATATTGCTAAAAGCGGCGTAAAAACTAAACTCACTCTCACTCACTCATTAGGTGTCAACACGTTTAGTTCATTATACTTGATTACTTTAGACTGCTTTTCTTCTTTTTGCAGCCGCCGTGGCCATGTTTCAAGGCACCAATGGACACCATCACCATCATCATGGGCACCACCACGGTCACCATCATGGGCACCACCATGGCCACCATCACGGAAAATAGATTGTAAACATTTCTTAATTGTTTTTCCAAAATGAATGATTAATAAATTATTTATTTAGTAAATAATCAATAACAATTTCTGGTCAATAAATTTAGAATGATAACAGCTTATTATATTTGACTATTTTTTTCCTTTCCAGATACATTTGGGGACTGCAAGAAATATGTCAGTGTATCATCTGACACAATGTGTTTTCTACCTCAGGTTTTCATTCGAATAAAGTTTATTTCATTTAAACATATTGATGTTGTTATTTGTCATAACGGGAATGAGCATAAACCAAATACAATCTTGATACGGTTAATGATAAAAAGCTCATCCCCTGTGACGTAGCCCAGCACAATGACATAGGCCATACGCCATGCCGTCACCCATGCCCCATGACATACCCAGTACTTGCGACATCACCCATGACACTTCCCTAACAGCTAGACACCACCCATGTCCTGTGACGACACCATTGTCTCATGACACACCCAGAACAGAGTAGAATGTATCCAATATTTTGAGTCATATGACACATTACAGACAATTTGATGAAGTCACAATTTTTCAATCTATGAAAGTACATAAATGGAAAGACTTGGCCTACGTATGAGCATTTATGTTTAATTAATCAACACGAAAGACTTGTTTTCTCCGGCATGTCTTGATGTAGTTTCATGGTCGTGCGTGAATCACCGTTAGACGAAAAACTATAATCCGCGATTCTGAGGAAAAATGAAGCGTTGTTTGCCATGGATTTGTTAAAGCGACAAGAGCCTTATCTCGCATCAGAATAAAGATACAAAACGCACAAAATACAGTTTTATATCCTAAAGAGGTAAGTGTTTATAAATTCAACATCACTAGACGATGTTTTTTCGTTCAGTTGTATAATTTACGACGTTTTCAAGAAAATGGCCGACACCAAGAGCATAACAGTGCATTCCCTTATGAGTGAGTGAGTGAGTATGGTTTTACGCCGCTTGTTGCAATATTTCAGCGGGACGTGGTAGTCGTCACGGGGCATGGATGGTGTCAGTGGACATGGTAGTCGTCACGGGGTATGGAGGGTGTCAGTGGACATGGTAGTCGTCATGGGGCATGGATGGTGTCAGTGGACATGGTAGTCATCACAGGGCATGGGCGGTGTCAGTGGACATGGTAGTTGTCACGGGGCATGGATGGTGTCAATGGACATGGTAGTCGTCACGGGGCATGGATGGTGTCATGGGACATGGTAGTCATCACGGGGCATGGATGGTGTCAGTGGACATGGTAGTTGTCACGGGGCATGGATGGTGTCATGGGACATGGGGTCATGGATGGTGTCAGTGGACATGGTAGTCGTCACGGGCATGGGTGGTGTCAGTGGACAGTCGTCACGGGTAGTCGTCACATGGGGTCAAGGGGGATGGATGGTGTCAGTGGACATGGTAGTTGTCACGGGGCATGGATGGTGTCATGGGACATGGCGGTCATCACGGGGCATGGATGGTGTCATGGGACATGGTAGTTGTCACGGGGCATGGATGGTGTCAGTGGACATGGTAGTCATCACGGGGCATGGATGGTGTCAGTGGACATGGTAGTCATCACGGGCATGGCATGGATGGTGTCAGTGGACATGGTAGTCGTCACGGGGCATGGATGGTGTCAGTGGACATGGTAGTCATCACGGGGCATGGATGGTGTCAGTGGACATGGTAGTCATCACGGGGCATGGATGGTGTCATGGGACATGGTAGTCGTCACGGGGCATGGATGGTGTCAGTGGACATGGTAGTCGTCACGGGGCATATATGGTGTCAGTGGACATGGTAGTCGTCACGGGTCATGGATGGTGTCAGTGGACATGGTAGTCGTCACGGGCATGGATGGTGTCAGGGACATGGTAGTCATCACGGGGCATGGATGGTGTCATGGGACATGGTAGTCGTCACGGGGCATGGATGGTGTCATGGGACATGGTAGTCGTCACATGGGGTCATGGATGGTGTCAGTGGACATGGACATGGTAGTGGTCATGGGGCATGGATGGTGTCAGTGGACATGGTAGTCGTCACGGGCATGGGATGGTGTCATGGGACATGGTAGTCGTCACATGTTAGGGCATGAATGGTGTCATGGGACATGGTAGTCGTCACGGGGCATGGATGGTGTCATGGGACATGGTAGTGGTCACGGGGCATGGATGGTGTCAGTGGACATGGTAGTCGTCACGGGGCATGCATGGTGTCATGGGACATGGTAGTCGTCACGGGGCATGGATGGTGTCAGTGGACATGGTAGTGGTCACGGGGCGTGGATGGTGTCAGTGGACATGGTAGTCATCACAGGGCATCATGGGTAGCCATGGTTCGTCTCGCTGCATATATTGATGCAATTGAAATAATGCTATTCATGAACTCTGTAATGTGGATTTGTAGGATGTTCTCTTGTCATTGTACTTGAATCACAATGTCCCTCAATATTGGATTTTATTCCGTTGTATATCCTATTCTGTTTTGATATTTGCCACGGGACAAAGATGTTATCATGGTTCATTGGTGGTGTCTCCAGGAATAGATGGTGTCACAAGATATGGGTGTTGTCTCAAAAAATGATTGGTGTTACAGGACATATTTTTTGTCTTTGGTATATCGGTGGTATCACCTGGCAAGTGTGGTATCTTGTTGGTAGAGTCACGGGGGATGGGTGGTGTCGCAGGACATGGTTTTTGTCTTTGGGTCATCGGTGGTATCACCTGGCAAGTGTGGTACCTGGCAAGTGTTGTATTTTGTTGGTAGAGTCACAGGGGATGGGTGGTGTCGCAGGACATGGTTTTTGTCTATGGGTCATCGGTGGTATCACCTGGCGAGTGTGGTATTTTGTTGGTAGAGTCACAGGGGATGGGTGGTGTCGCAGGACATGGTTTTTGTCTTTGGTATATCGGTGGTATCACCTGGCAAGTGTGGTATTTTGTTGGTAGAGTCACAGGGGATGGGTGGTGTCGCAGGACATGGTTTTTGTCTTTGGTATATCGGTGGTACCACCTGGCAAGTGTGGTATTTTATGGGTAGAGTCACAGGGAATGGGTGGTGTCGCAGAAAATGATAGGTGTCACAAGAACATGGGTGGAATCTTGGGAAATGGGTAGTGTCTTTGGTCATCGGTGGTGCCACAGGAAATAAGTGGTATATTGGGGCATGGTGGTGTCTTGGGGTAATGGGTGATGTCAGAGAGAATGGCTAATGTTGCAAGACGTGTGTTGTCACTAGAGAGGAAAGGTTTCTTCAAAGAGTTACTTGATCTCTACTTGTACCAACTGCATTGGAATTGTTCAAGCTAATTCCGTAATGACGAATAACAACATCAATAGGCAAGAAACAAGTAAATTTTATTCCAATGCAAAAAGGCGAGGTAGAAAACACATTGTGTTAGATTATGCAATGGAATATTTCTTTCAGTTCCCAGATGTCTCTGGAAAGCAAAAAATACTCAAGTAAGTATGCATGACATGACTTTGTACCTAATGAATATCTTTTACATAACTGTAATAATTAAAATTGTTTCAACTAATTATTTTAGATTTTAACTAAGTAGGAATATTGTTTGATTCAATCAGACGTGTAAAAACAATTCATAAATGCGCACCATCTTTTTCCGTGGTGGTGGCCATGGTGGTGTCCGTGATGGTGATGATGGTGTCCATTGGCACCTTGAAAGATGGCCACGGCGACTGCAAGATATGAAAATGCTCAATTAATTTTAATGAACCAATACAAACACAACCATGAATAGAGATTGAATGATTCAATATATTACAAAAGCGATATTTATTTTTCCTGGATGCCATTTTAAAGCCAAAACTGAAAAAAAAAAAAAAAGAAGAATATTTTATATTCCATAGAATATTCAGAAACAGGACAATCCGCGACTGTTAACCTTACCCTAGTGGTTAGTTTCGTAATGAACCATTCTTAACTCATTATATCGATCATGAATAAAACATGCATGATATAGAGTATCATACATTACAGGGATGTAAGAATGACAAGTAATGGCAACGCAGTTCGAATGTATTCACCAAGCAGAAGAGGAGCAAGGACAGCCGTCACATTCATTGTGGAGGGTGTGGGGTTGGGGTGGGGAGGGGGTGACAACCATTATTGGCATGAGTATATAACACCAGTAGATACTGAAAGGTTGATGGTAGCGGATGTTTTGTAATTTGTCTCAGATGCCATGTATTTACACGTTGGCTACTACCGGAAGTAACTACGGACCCACGTGACAGATATACTGACCCCTGGTGTTAGACTTCCCGCAGATCAAGGTCACAGTCCTGCTGTGTGTGGGTGTAGGCACTGACCGCAAACAGGGGCAGATAATGTGTCTTTGTTTTCTGATCTAGGTGTGTTCGTATTCGGTGAATGAGACAAAGGAAGCTGGCTTCTGATCGTATTTGATCACTGGAATAATAATTTACATAAAAGAAAACAGTCAAATGTCAAAGAGAAGAATATTATATGGGGCATTATCTTCCGTCCATTAACTTTCGATGTGTTCTTCCAATCACTCAAGAAATAAGCCTGACATATTGATACTATTTCTAAAACATGTTGCTATGTATTAGATACTATCAGCATACTATCATCCTTTGAATAATTGACAGTAGAGGAACACACCCATACAAAAAACCCGACATTATCTGTCCCTGTTCTTGGTCGGGGCTTTCAACCAGTCACAGCAGGAAAACGACCATGATCTTCCACAACGTACTCTTGGCGGCCGACTCTCCCATTAGGGATGGAGCACATGTCATGTATGTCAATACCAAGTTCCGGAAGTGTCAAATGTATAAATACTCGACACCTGAAACAAATTACAAACACAATCTTTCAGAATCTACTGGTAATACCTTTCCACAATGAATGTGACAGCTGTCCTTGTTTTTCTTCTGCTTGGTGAGTACATCGAAACTCCTTTGTCATTACTTATCATTCGTGCTGTAATACCTTGTTTCATGATATATGGAAGACATATAAAAGTGCTTGTCTCTTTTTCGAACCTAACCAATGTCTCCATGTTAGAAAGAGGTATATCTTCTTATTATTGTGTACAACCATTCAATTGGAAATACTTGTTTATATTTTTTCATTGTCACTCTTGGACATATCAAATTGTAATATGTTATTGTTTTATGACGTCTCAATATGATAAACGCGACAAAATTTTATATGTTCTTACCGTTCAAATAAAAACCACTTTTC